AGCCCACCCTAACCTACACAAAGTGTTCTTTTTACATAGCTTTCAAAATCTCTCAGGGTGGGCTCGATGTAAATCAGGATGGGCTGAGCCCACCCTGGCCCACCCCTGGCGCCGCCACTAAGAGAAAATAATCTTTTTTGAACGTACTGACAAATCTAATGATCATCATCAATCAATTAATTCATGGTGAACATTATAAAATCCGTATTATTTAGGCAAAATTTAACCAAAAAAAAATTTGAAAAAAAACAATCAACTAATATTGATTCTATTTAAAAACAAAAAAAAACAACAACAAGAAAGCTTCTGTATAATAAAGAGAGAGAGAGAGAGATGTTATTTTGAATAATTTATTTTAATTAACAAAAGAATTATAAATTATGTGAAACTTTAGTCAAATCATTAATAAACATATGTCGACTAAATGTAGTATAAATATGTCTATACCAAAGCATTTGTGAACGATGAGCATGAAAAGCTTTTAAACCTTTTATATATCCAAATGGTGAAATAACAAATAAAGCATGTTGATCATTTGGTGGAGAAAATAAAAATGGAAATATCGTTGAAAAAAAACTTCGAAATAATCGAGGTAAAAATTTAATTATTGTTCGAAATAAATCAATTATTGAAGAAAATTCAAATAATAATGGAACAGTTGATATTTGATATATTAATGGAGTTTTAGAAGTTTTTTCAATATAATATTCAACTCCAATAGCAATTGATTTATGATTAAGATGACCAGATATTCCATCACGATCAAATGTTATTAATAAATCAATATTATATTTTTTTATATATATTTCAACTAATTCTGATATATTTTCTTTGGGCCACCACCGATGTTGATTATCTTGTAAATTAGTTAAATTTAAAGATATACATCGTGATAAATCAATATTTAATCGTTGACAACTTTCTTTTAATTCTTTTTCTCGAATTGGTCCTAAACCATTACTATTACCAGTTGAAATAACAACAATATGACCTTTTTTATCATTAGATATTAATGATAATATAGTTGGACTAAAAAATAAACATTCATCATCTGGATGTGCAACAAAAATAAGAAAATTTTTTGTTTTTTTTATTTCTTCTGGAATAAATGATCGAATATTTTTAATTGGAGTTAATATTAATAATAAATAAATAAATAATGGTATTAATAATATAGATCGAATTATAAATGAATATGATATTCGACGAATTAATCGTTTTATTATTCGACATTTTTCTTTATTATTATCATTATCATTATCATTTAATGAATCAATTAAATCTATTGAATCTTCTTCATCTTTTTTATCACGATAATTTTTTTTTTTTTTTGTTTTGCTTCAACTGATGGTCCTAAGACCCTAACAGTACAAATAGTATAAAGAATAGAAGAAAAGAGCAGGAAAAGAAGAAATCATATAACGAACAAGAACATAAATAGGAGGAAAGTGAGCTGTTACAATACGTAGAGAGAAAAAAAAAAGAAAAATAAACAAAAGAGATGAACATAAAGTACAACGTCAGAAGGAATCAGGAAATTCCCCGAGAACATCAATATCCCGTATATCGTAATCAATAATAGAGTGAGAAGAACGATTAGAAGAGCACCATTGTACACATTTCTCCAAAATAGATCTATGTTGTATATATCTCTTAGACCGATGCAGGCCCTTTATTGATAATTCTTTCAGCAGCCAAGTTTTTCTCCATTGATTTAAATTCGCCTGCTCAATAAGTAGCTCGCCGTCCACTGAATCAGATAGTGCAGTAAGATACCGTTCCCAATAGTTAATACACCTATCTTCTAGAGAAATTTCATCGAAAACATAAGCAAAAAAAGGATCAGACCAGTGGAGGCAGTGAAAAATTCTTCTAAGTGAGATATAGTAGAAATGAGATAGATCATTTTGTTGCTTCTGTGTGAAAAGGGGGAAGAGAGCAAATAACCATGTAAATAGTGGAAGTACATATGATTGAAATAGCGTTTTTCTTAATGCAGCAGAAGTGGTTCCTACAATACGAAATGAATTTACTAAGGAAATTCTCTGACGAATCTTAACTAAGGTATTATTGATCATAGTGCTCCAACCTAACTTTGGTGTAATCCAATATCCCAGGTATTTAAACTCTTTGACCCATCTAATTTTTACATCCTCAAACTGGATGTCGAATTTAGGAGGGCCAATTGCTCGTGAGGACCAGAGAGCTTCTGTTTTAGAAAGATTAATCGGCTGAGCTGTGAGAACGGAGTAATATTCTAGATCATCTAAAAATCTTTTTAATCTTTTTTCGAGATCAATACATTGATGGGTAAATTTAACCCCTATTCTACCACTAAGTACAGCTGCAAGATCGTCAGCAAAAAGAAAGCTGGAGCATATATTCAGGAAACCGGTAAGATCCGAATGGTAAGTGATGAATAACGTTGGGGTGAAGATTGAACCTTGAGGGCCACCACGATCAATTGGAAACCATCTAGATTTTTCTCTTTTAATTTCAATATATGCTCTCCTATTAGATAACCAAGCCTCAATCCAATTAAGAAAGGATTTAGGGATGCCCATTCTTCTCAATTTACCTAAACAGCCCTCAAACCAGAGTTGGTCAAAGGCGCTTTTAAAATCAACGAAAATCGTAGCTACAGGGGAACTGTTTGCCATTAAGGAAGAGACTTGTTCCAGAAATAATAACACTCTAGTTTGTAAACGAAATTTTTCACGAAACCCTGACTGTGTGTCGGGTAAAAGGCCTCGTTTATGAATAATATCACGAAATCTAGTTAGAAAAAGTTTTTCGTCAATTTTCAAAAAGATGTCTAATAATGAGATGGGTCTTGTTAAAGAAGGTGCACAAAACGACTCTTTTTTGGCAAGCAAAAGCATCCTAACATCCTTCCAAGCTAATGGTAGACGAGCTTCAGAAAAAGACCAGTTAAAGGTTTTCAATAAAAGACACCAATAGGGGATTGGTAGAAAATTAAACATAAAGTTACATAGTCCATGAGCATCACAGGGTTTCTTTTTATTTCTGTCATTGACAATTTCAAGAACTTCTTCAAGATATGCAGGTGGAATTGTTTCTTCATCATTTTCCCACACCGGCCACGGCGCGTCAGTGTAAGGATGAGGTCTGTATATACTTTCAGGCTTTTTGAAAAATTCTTCATAGAAGTCTGCCGCAGTATTTGACATGTCCACAGGATCTTTGATGACATTGCCATTTGGCAGAATAAACCCCCTTAGGGATGCTGAGGGAGGTTTAAAAAATCTCTTGGTTTTTGACCAAAAGGAGACAGAAATAGGGGAGGGGGTGTGACACATTGCTAATGTAGAATTTAGCTGAGAATAAACGAAATCTTTTAATTCTTTTTTTGCTATTTTTCTGAGATCACGAACAATATCCTTTAGGTGTGAATCGCGTGATCTGATTTGTCTAAATGAGAGAGCGCGAATATAAGACAAAAATGATCGTAATTCTTTTGGAATTGCTATTCTATATTTTTTGAGGGGAAAATGTTTAGTACACCGGGCAATGAGAAGAGAAAGAAAAGTAATATAATCGTTGTAGACCTCGTCTAGGTTGTTCAGATTCCATCTAGCTTCCCAGAAACTATAAACGTACTCAGAAAAGAAGAAAAATACTTTCCAATGAATAGTACGACCCAAAATATTTTCAGAATTTTTGAACTGAATTATGGAGAGTAGAGGTCTATGATCACTAGTGGTGTTTCCATTATATGATTGAATATCAATGGTAAATCCACTACCGAATGCAAAATCTATTATTCGATCAGATCTAAGAGAAGTAGATGACTCAGGTGCAAAGGATGCTAGAAAGTGGGCATCTGCCCAAGCTAATAGCGCTTCAGCTTTGGAATTATCTTTTCTTAAATCGATGTTAAAATCTCCGTATACAGCACACTTCGGCTTTATGAATTGCGACATATCATCCCATTTCCAACTATGACTTTCGGGAGCATAGACCCCAATGATCCTCAATTTATCCTCATCAGCATAAATATCGACAATACAAATATTTGGAAGGGAGCAACAAATTCTTTCTGATTTCAATGACTTCCTAACCATCATCACCACTCCTCCATTGCTATTTTCACCTTTCTGATAATAGATATTGAAATTTGAGAAGATTTGGCTGCAGAAAGAAAAATCTATTAGACCTGTTTCAAGAAGAATAAGTACATCAAAATTGAATGAAGCAGTAAGTAGTACAATTTCTTGAACACGTAAATCAAGACCACGCACATTAAAGGATAAAATATGAAGAGAATTTTCAACAGATGATTCGCTAGGAAGATAACACTTCCATTTAGAAAAACAAGAAGATAATAAAGGACTACTTTCCCAATCACAAAGAATTTCATTAAGAAGAGAGAAATCAAAATCAGATAGACAAGAACGCGCCTGACATAAAAATATATCTCTATTGGAAAGTAGTGTTTGAGAAGAACAGGAGAAAAAAGGAGTAGCAGAAGGAGAAAGAGTCATGACAAGTCTTTACCTTCTAGGGCTAATTTCAGTTTTGTACGAATTATTTCGAGATTTGTCTTAAGACCAGGATCACAAGGACGACCATGTTGATCGTGATTAAGTAGAAGAATAACTTTGGACATTTCATCAAGCATTGGCAATAATAATTTAACTAAAATATTTTCATATCTTTTCAATTTTAATTCATGTTGAACTTGATTAGCTTCTAAAGCTTTATCATGATGTTTTAATACATTTATCTCTTGTTTAATAATTTTATCACTATCTATTTTGTCATTCATAAATTTTTCGAATTTTTCGTTGCATACTGTTATTTTGGAGATATTGTCGTTCATTTTTTCCATGTTAACAGCAAGTTCATTGAGTTTAGATAATATCATATTGTGTGAACCAGTAATTGATGAATTATGTGAAGGATTTAATTGAGGAAATTGAACAGGATCATATTTAAACCAGTTGAATGTTGATGTTGAATTGTAGTTCGTGGTTAATAATTTTTTAGTTAATGCTGCACGGAATTGTTTGACTACCGGGCAGCTAACCACATTCGATAAGTGCTCACCACCACAGTGAATACATTTAAGTTGATTTGAGCATACATGTTATTTTAAATCCTGGAAAGATAGTCCACAAGTTTTACATGTTTCACTGGATTGAGTGCATTGGCGTTTAAAGTGGCCAATACCACAGCACTTGCTACAGATGAGTACTCTGGCAGGAGCAATATATTCTTCCACATCATATGATCTATAATTAATATTAATTTTTCCAGCAGCTAAAATCTGATTACGAGCTAAAGTTGACACAAATTCAATTTTAACAATTTTAATGTCTTGCTGAAATTTGTTCTTTAATCTAATGACATTCTTGATTTCAGGAAATTTTCCTTTTAAATCATCAGAAAAAACATTCATATCAGTATAAAAATCAACATTTTTTATAATAAGTGATAATTGAGGAGGAATAGAAGGTGACGAAGGAAATGTATAATATTGAGATCCGATTTGTGGTGGCCATTTATCTTCATCTAAAAGACTAGTAAATGAATTAGCATCTTTAACAAATAGCAGAATATCATATTCGTTGGAGGAGCATTTGAACGTTGATGATCTATAGTTAGAAAATAAAATATCAATTTGATGTTCATTTTTAAAAAATAAGGAAATTTCTTCAGCAACTTGTTTGTCCTTGACATTTCCAGTTGAAAAACGAATTATGAATGGTGAAAATGGAAATCTGGTTTGGGCATAACGTGTTGCAGCCATGGTAATATCAGGATGGTGTTGAGAAGAATCATGTGTTGCTTTTTGGTGCATCAAATTAGAATTAGTTACAATACGGTGATTGTATCCTGGAAATGAAGATTGACAATTGTTGTTGTTAACAGCAGAAGATTGTTGGTACAGCTGATTCTTATTGTACATCAAATTGTTATTATTATTATTTTTTTTTTCTTCTTGTACGTGACCGTTGTAAAATCTTCATCATGGTCATCAGAATGTAATCGTCTGATGGATCTTGCAGGTGAATCGATAGATTGAATATTAATTGGAGGTGGTGGTGCTTGAATATCATCTTGAGGACTATTTCTGTTGGTGCAGTAATGAATATTAGTACTTGGATCATATTCATAATCATTGATTAAATTTAATGAATTACTAACCATTTGAGCTGTTGAATCATGACGAGAATTGTGAACCGGTTTATGACGAATGAACTGGTTCTGTTGATTGTGATAATTGGCCGCCATGAGGTCGCTAATTATCAACAAATCACCGATCACGTGAAACACGTGGAAGAAAAGACGAAGGGTCAATAAGGTCAGAAATGTATGTGTGTATATGTAATATAGAAACGAAGGAATCTTTATCACGATAATATTTTATATTACGTGACACATTTTTTATTATTCCAATTATTTTCATTGAATTTTTCTTAAATTAATATCTGAAAACAGAAGTTTTCTTCAATTTAAAAAAAAACAAACATATACTTAGGGTGGTCCAAAAGTTCTGGCCACGGAGTTTTAAATTCATTAAAATACTCAGTTTTGAAAGTTTTATTGCATGAATAGTTAGTAAAATATCTCGTCTATAATTATACATATAACA